CTGGCAGGAAGTGGTGCAGGCCACTGAGATGGCACAGGGAGGGGTTGGGGGAGGAGAGAGGGAGGTAGGTGTGTGTGTATGTGTGTGTGGAGGAGAGAGGGAGGTAGGTGTGTGTGTGTGTGTGTGTGTGTTAGGGAGGGGTAGAGACAATGTAATCACCACCAGAAGTAGCTTCTGACGCTGTGCATCCTGGAGATTATTTCCAAGCCCCAGCATTCAAACCATGCCTTTTACCCTGCCAGAGAGCCCTCTATGCTGTTTTCCTATAACAGGAAATCTTGGCTAACTTGATTGACATGCATACTGTCCCAGGCTATGGCAACATGTTGGAAGGGCTTAGAAGACTTTTGAAGCAGCTATAATGAGAGCAAATGGGAGTCATAATAGAGGCAAAACAAACTAAACCAAATCTAAAAACAAACCTAAAATACAGGAGGGAGCTCTGTGTGCCAGAGCGAATAGCCAGATGCCACAGGATCATAGGAGTGTGAAGCCAAAGGACCTGTAGAGTCTGACCTCTCCTCCCAGGCGCCAGGTCTACCTCTAATGCCCTGACATGGTCCCCTGCCCTGTCCTCCCAGGGACAGGAGGACCAGGGCCACACATGGCAGCCCATTTCCGAGTCTTCCCTCACACAGAACGAGATTCTGAGTTGACCCTTTGAGCCTCGTGTGTTGAGCTGCAGAAGCCAGAATCCTCCCTCTTATCTTCTCTTCATTCCTCTTGTGGCTCCTGTTCTAGATTCTTGACGTCTTGGCCACCCACCTCTGAATTAGCTCCTTACCCAGAATTTGATGCTGTGGACACATACATTAATTAATTCAACAGATTTTAGTACATACTGGCCAAGAGGTTAAGAGCCCAAGTTCTGGGATAATATGCTCCTCCGTTCAAGGCCTGGCTCCACTATTTACCAGCTGTGTGACCTTAAGTAAGTTAACCTCTCTGAACTTCAGCTTCCTCCTTTATAAAGTGAAGATAAAAATAATGGCCACTTTACAGAGGATTAAGTGACAGTGCCTGTAATGGGCCTCTCATAGTGCCTGGCACATAGTAAATGCTCAAAATTTTGGCAGCCGCATTGGACTGACCCACAACTCATACTGGGTCTGTACTCAGCTAAAAGCCAAGGGTCTTTCACACCAACCCCTAACACTTACCCTTATTAAACTTCATGTTGTCAGTTCTAGTCCGCTGTCTCATCTTGTCAGCATTGATTCTGTCACCATACATTAGCTAGCCTGTGCAGCTTCGGGTCATCTGCAAACCCGGGAACATGCCTTTTACATTTCATTTAGGCCGACTCCATCTAGTCCAGTGCCAACATGTTACTCAAGATTCTTTAGGCTCAGCTGCTCAGCTGGCACTGAAGTTACTCAACTGTGCCATCATCCAGCCCACACTGGCTCCTTTGATTGAGGAATTTTCTCCCCCAGAAATTCTGAATTGGCTCCAAAGAAAAAGTTAACTTGTGTCCAACAACTTCTGTTTAAGAAACCAGGGAAATTATAAAACCTTTTAGAAAGACATCAATCAAAAAGTGGTCAACATAAAGTTTGGGTACTTGACAGGGTAAATCTCATTTATTTAAAACATTCCCTCATATGGATTGTGTGAATCCTCGGCGATGCCAGAAAATGAGGCATTATTGCATAGTTTTTGTGTGTTTTCCCATGTGGTTTGTGCTCTTTCTGCTAGAATAGAAACTTCCCAAGGTCAGAAGTCAGTTCTATCATTTTGTATCTCTCTTCAGTACCCGAGTTCCGCAGAGAGAAAGCTGTCTAAGGTTTGTGCACAAGAAACTCTTAATACCTGCTGATCAAAAAGCCACAAAATTACCCTTTTGTATGCACACATCCAGCTGACAGCCAGAAGCTCAGAAGCATCCCCTGGGAGGTTCAAGAGGGCAGAAACTCTGTGTTTTAGTTTTGTTGCCTACAGGGTCCTGTAACACCCCATATTGCACATGATAGGTACAGAAATCAGAAAATATTTTTCTGAATGTTGAGTGAATACCATGGGGGACAAAACCCACATTCCCAGAATCATACTGGTCCTATTTCCATGCCTTCCTTCATGTGAAAAGTGCTCAATTGACACGCCATGAAGAACATTGCAGTCAAGAACCTTTAACTGGGGGCTAGTGCAGAGAGGGCCTGGGCTGCATCTAAGACATAAGACATCAGAGATCTGAGGGGGTGTGAGTGTTTGTGCAGAGAGGACGTGTCTACAAAACATTTGTGTCAGGTAGAGGGCCTGGGCTGCATCTAAGACATAAGACATCAGAGATCTGAGGGGGTGTGAGTGTTTGTGCAGAGAGGACGTGTCTACAAAACATTTGTGTCAGGTGTATTTGATGTACCATTAAAGGATAAAGCATCCAATAGGCTCCAAGGGAAGGGAAGAACACTTACATGTGAGATCTGTGAGAAGTTTTCCTGAAGGGTGTAATTGGGTAGAATTTAAAAGTTGAAGAAATTGGAGGGAACTTTCCAAGGTGGCAGAACAGCGTGAGTGAAGGAAGGCAAGGGACTGGGAAAGCACAGGGTGTGTTTGGTGAGTGACAAATCCTGGAATGGGGGCTCGCGCAGACCCCCAGCCTAGCTCCTCCCAGTGGGCCCTGGTGAATGCCGGTGAGGGGGTGGAATAGGTGTTTTCTCTGCCTGCAGAGTTAATTGGCTCACAGAGGGCTCTAGCTCCTTTCGTCTATCTTATCAGCATCCTCCTCTAATCTGAGTTGAGAAGGCCACTTAAACAACTATATGGCTCAGCTGCTCCCTGCAGCCCAACTACTAAATAGCATCACCAGACACTGCCACCTTATCAGACAGATGGGGTCGGGCTTTCCAGCTCAAATGACAAAACTTGCCCTCTAGCTTCTCCAGCGTTTCTTGGCTCCAGCCTCAGCAATAACAATGCCTAAAGTCTTCCTTTTCTCTCACAAAGTCCTGTTACCCTCACAGACTGCCTCCGTAGCCTCCTGATAGGTTTGCCCATGCTGGCTGTGCAGAGGGGTGGCCCTGGGATGAACTGTCGCTCAGCAACATCTCTGCTGTGTGCAGGGGCTGACAGGCCCACCCGCTGGAGCGTTCCTGCTGCAGGCAGCCCTTGGAGCACGAGAGCCGTCATTTACTTTAAGGCCAACTCATGTTACTGGCTTCAGGGCTGCCTGTAGTGAAATACAAAGATAGAAGCCTTTTAACTAATAGCCCACTTTAAATGTTACTTTAAGATTCAGTTCTTTTCATAACTTCATTCTTTTCCTGCCCTCTACTTTAACCCCCTGACTCAATGGATTTTGGTTTCACAATTTCAGAGAGAAACCTATAGAACAAGTTCATACGTTTCTCCTAAGAAAAGTCACATGTAAGGTTGATGGTTCTTTCAGGCATGTGCACAGAACCAAACTACCTCTCTTCTTTGCCACAAAGGAAGAGGGAGAATTGGAGTGGTGGCCTGGTGATTCAGGTCGCAGACTAACTTCTATGGGGGTCCCCCAGATATTGGTGGTGTAGCCATCTCCAGGAATAAAAACCGAGGGTTTGGGGGATTGCATCCTTTTTGGAACCCTGAGATTATTATGGCTACTCAGTGCCACCAAAAAAAAGTCCCTCAAAACAAAAAACAAAACAAAGTGAAATGAAAGCAACCCCAAACCTAAATAAACAAACAAAACTGGTCAGTTGAGTCCTTCTGGTAGAAAGCCTATTATTCATTTGCGGTCAAGTACAACAATTAGGGGATCATCTTATTCTGTTTTTGGAATCTCAAAAAAGTTTTGTTATCCATCAATTAAGGCATCCCATAGGCCCGGATTCATGATGCCTTCCTCACATCACATGGGAAAAGAGAGTCACGGGTCTTAGTCACAATTCATCAGGAAACTACACGATACTTTATGGAGTGTATTTCTTCCGGCATAGTAAGTAAGAGCATAGACTTTAGAATCTAATAGGTATGAGTCTGAATCCAGTTCTGCTACTTCCTGCATCGTGATCTTGGTGAGTTTCTTAACTCTCTGAGCCTCTTTCCTCATCTGTAGCATGGAAATACTAACAGCCACCTTGTAGAGATCTTGGGAGTATTATGTAACTAACATAGCACTTGCCATGTAGTGCCTAATTCTTAGTAGGCATTCAAACATTAGTTCCCTTTCCTTTTTCTTTTGTGCCTTTGTCCTTAACCTCTATCAGTCATCTGCATCAGAAACTCCAAGCAGAGACCAGGTGCTAAACAAGACAGTCCAGATGGAACCAAGTGTTCCTGAATGGAGACTTGCTCCCGGCTTCAGGCTGTTTTCCTTCTTCCCTGTTTGTGGGAGGCTTACGTGTTTGCCCTGAAATTTGACCACATCCTGGGCTTCATATTGACGGTTTCTGTTTGAGCTTTTCAGAAAGCAATAGAGAGAAAGAGAACAGAGAGGTCAGGCTCTGGGTGGGTGAGAGGGCAGCCAAGGAAACAAAATGCAGTGACCTTGAGTTGGGGAAGGAGGAGCAGAAATTTTTTTAGGGAAAGTGGATGAAGACATTGTCAGGACTCAGGGGAACCTGCTAAGTCTCTCAGTCACCATTTATTGGATGCGGGCTCTGTGTGGGCTCAGCTTTATGATGAGGCTCAGAAGACCAGGGAGGCCTGATTCCTGACTGAGTGCTTATAGTCAAAACGGACATAAAAAAGACAGAAAGATCACCGAGAGCCTAGTTATTTGAGCCAATCATCCAGTTCCTAAAGGATTTCAGACTGAAGGAGCAACTGGATGTGTGGTTAATCAAGTAAGGCTTCCTGAAAGAAGCAGTTTGAGGGAGATGAGGGTCACAGGGTGAAGGAAAGGAACTCGGAGCTCAGGGTCGGAACAGCAGGGGCAGAGGCCTGGTGCTGAAGGGTTGTTGCCGAGGGTGACAGCCCCTTCCTCAAGTGCTCTGTGGATCCCCTTCACCTTGGCCCCTATTTCACTGGCATGGCAGGGCCCCAAGTAGAGACTGGGCCCCAAGGGCTCTGACCTCACTAGATCGGAGAACTCCGAAGAACGGGTAGAGGAAGGCGGGCACCAGGGCTGCAGCTCCGAGAGGCACGGCCTCCGACACCCAGTACACAGCAGTCACGATCAGCACGTAAGCACAGGCGGCCTCCTGGAAGGGGGAGAAAGGGGACTGTCAGCACAGCGACAGCCACTGCCACGGGGAGGCACCAGGCCCCAGGCCCCAGCCCTGGGAGGCACAAAGTGGCCTTGGCAGGTGAACGTGTGCTATGTGGGGTGGAGCGTCCATACTTTGATGTGTGAAGTGATGGTTGCTCCTTGGATGGACTGATGCCTGGCACGTGGCTTGAACTGGTTTCCAGTAGGGTGGCCCCCTTGGACTATTGTATCACTGCTCTGCTGGTTCCTGAAACTGTGCAGCAGGGGATTGAAATTAACTGCAGTGTCCAAACGATAATATACTGCAAAGGTTGCTATCACAGCTTTAGCTTGGACGGGGGAAGGATATTTTGGCATTGGACACAGAGGTTCTCAGAGTAGTTGAGGACAGGGATCAATCTGTGTAGTTGGTTCACATGTGCGCCAGATAATTCATTGCTGTGGGGCCCGTCCTGTGCATTTTAAGAAGTTTAGCAGCATCTCTGGCCTCTACCCACTAGATGTCAGTAGCACCTCCCCAGTTGTAACAAACAATTAAACATGTCTCTGGATATTGCCAGATGTTCCTTGGGGGGAAAGTGTGTCTCTGGTTTCGAACCAGTGCCCTAAGCAGTCCCTGGATCTCATTGCCCTGGGACTTGATTCCACCTGCCTGATGCACATGGAAACATCCTTCTGCCAAAGGGAGTAAGGAATGCTGTCTGCCTAGAAGGGCAGGCCTAGGAACTGAGCAGAGTTTTCCCCGGCCCACGCACTTCGCTGGTGGCACCACCTGGGAGTATACAGAAAAGGTAAGTACACATTCTTATGAAAAATCAGCACTCCATAACCTTGGCCTCCAGTAATGATGGTTGCTTGGAATGGCGCTGATTAATGGTGTTGAGAAAGGTCGCCTTGCTCTTGGGAGAGGTTACTGTCTAAGTGCCTTAACAGTGGACTGGGAGGTCCACTGTATAGCAGACGCAAGCTGGCTGGGGGTTCCTCAATTTATACATAGTTCTAAGCCATCTGGGCTCAGGTCTGACCTGCCCTGAGGCTGGCTAATGATCAAGGAACCTGACAAATCTTACTCTGTTTATCTCTCCCTTGGGTTCAGAACACGTGTTCTCAAACTCTTGCACGAAAGTTACAAAAGGTCTCCTCGATCAGCACGTAAGCACAGGCGGCCTCCTGGAAGGGGGAGAAAGGGGACTGTCAGCACAGCGACAGCCACTGCCACGGGGAGGCACCAGGCCCCAGGCCCCAGCCCTGGGAGGCACAAAGTGGCCTTGGCAGGTGAACGTGTGCTATGTGGGGTGGAGCATCCATACTTTGATGTGTGAAGTGATGGTTGCTCCTTGGATGGACTGATGCCTGGCACGTGGCTTGAACTGGTTTCCAGTAGGGTGGCCCCCTTGGACTATTGTATCACTGCTCTGCTGGTTCCTGAAACTGTGCAGCAGGGGATTGAAATTAACTGCAGTGTCCAAACGATAATATACTGCAAAGGTTGCTATCACAGCTTTAGCTTGGACGGGGGAAGGATATTTTGGCATTGGACACAGAGGTTCTCAGAGTAGTTGAGGACAGGGATCAATCTGTGTAGTTGGTTCACATGTGCGCCAGATAATTCATTGCTGTGGGGCCCGTCCTGTGCATTTTAAGAAGTTTAGCAGCATCTCTGGCCTCTACCCACTAGATGTCAGTAGCACCTCCCCAGTTGTAACAAACAATTAAACATGTCTCTGGATATTGCCAGATGTTCCTTGGGGGGAAAGTGTGTCTCTGGTTTCGAACCAGTGCCCTAAGCAGTCCCTGGATCTCATTGCCCTGGGACTTGATTCCACCTGCCTGATGCACATGGAAACATCCTTCTGCCAAAGGGAGTAAGGAATGCTGTCTGCCTAGAAGGGCAGGCCTAGGAACTGAGCAGAGTTTTCCCCGGCCCACGCACTTCGCTGGTGGCACCACCTGGGAGTATACAGAAAAGGTAAGTACACATTCTTATGAAAAATCAGCACTCCATAACCTTGGCCTCCAGTAATGATGGTTGCTTGGAATGGCGCTGATTAATGGTGTTGAGAAAGGTCGCCTTGCTCTTGGGAGAGGTTACTGTCTAAGTGCCTTAACAGTGGACTGGGAGGTCCACTGTATAGCAGACGCAAGCTGGCTGGGGGTTCCTCAATTTATACATAGTTCTAAGCCATCTGGGCTCAGGTCTGACCTGCCCTGAGGCTGGCTAATGATCAAGGAACCTGACAAATCTTACTCTGTTTATCTCTCCCTTGGGTTCAGAACACGTGTTCTCAAACTCTTGCACGAAAGTTACAAAAGGTCTCCGTGATCAGTGAGGGCGTCAGAAGTGATTAAGCCAGCCTGGCTGGACAGGACCTTGCTCCCTCCTGATATGCATGGATTATGGGATTGGGTTTAAGAAATGGGAACTGGGCCCAGCAGTCGTTGACTGTAGCTCCCACTGAGATTTTCTCTAGGGTCAAAGGATCAGAGAGAAGTTAAAACTTTTAGAAATGCCGATAAGACAACACAATCAATTAGTGGGGGAAAAAAGGCTCCATTTGGAAAAGAATGCAATTTAGAGAAATACCCCTTTGTTGCAGATGTATAACTACCTAGAGGAGGTCAAAGCTCTTTAGCCCACCTGAGCCCACTCACTCTCCCGTCGTTCCTGAGGAGATGGAATGGCTGGTCTTGACTCCGGCTGAAGATAAAGAGGACAGAATGTCCCTCACTGTGGAGCCCTTGCTCCTTCCAGAGCACCTTCAGTCTTTCTTGTCCTGGTCCTTACAGGGCCACAATTCACAGGAGATAAACTTTTTGATTGTAACTATTGTGAGGAATTACAGTAGGTTGCTGGAAGGAGTCACCAAGCCACCTACATCAGCAGAATTGAGATCAGGGTAAACTACCATTTGTATCTGGACTTTCCTTACAAAGAAGAATGTGGCCAGGAGCGCACTCTCAGAGGGCCTCTCCTTACGCTCACCACTCCATTCATCCGTGAGATTCCCGTGAGCTTCCTTTGCCCCTTCTCAGCCTTCTCAAAATTCAGACAGGTAGGTAAGCTTCTGTTGAGACAACCCAAAACACTCTGTGAAGCTGGATTCCAGGAATCCTGTGGCCCCACATCTGGCTGGTGGGTGGCAGGTAGCTTAGTCAGTGTTGGCTGCTCTGAATTGTGTTCCTCTGCTGGCTCTCAGGTCTTTCTTACCCGCTGGACAGAGTATGGAAACCTCCAGCCCCTTAGTATGCCACTGGGCAGCAGGTGGGCAGGGATGGCGAGAATTCACACAGTGCCTTTAAGTCAGAGTATTGTCAGTACTTTTCTGCTCTTGTTTACAAATTAAAGAGAGAGTTCACAAGTGATATTTCCGCATTTTGAATGTTTCCTGACTCTGCTACTAAATGTATTTGCATCTGCTCCTTTCCAAGCAGTCTGAGCAGCCCAGTGATACACCATTCACACTTCTCTGGTGGGAGCTTGAGGGCTGTTTGTTTGCTGTCATAAATGACAGGGGAGCCTTTTTGAAATCTAGCTTGGAAGTTGTCTGTAACTTTTATCTCACCAGAGACACAGAAGCAGGGTGTAGTGAGTGCCACTCCCTCCTGTGCCCTCTTCTCTAATATGGTAAACCGAACCCAGGCCCCTGGTTTTAGTGAGCTGAGCAGCAAAAAGGGAAAAGTCATCCTGGTCCTTCCTAAGATGTGCTTGTCACTTTGAAGAGCCATCAGAACTGCAAGCTGGGAGCTTCTGCCATGGCTCCTCTCTCAGCTCCAGCTCTGAGCGATCAAGTCCATTAAGAAACTTAAGAACTACATATCAGAATCTGAAAGTGTGATGGAATGGGGGAAGGATGGGTGAGAGACGTTCTGTGTGCTGTTTTGTGCCTCCGGTGGGCACTGGAGATCTCTCGGTGCTTTTATATCATCGTGAGGAGGAGGAGCAGTACCTTGTTGACACTGTCACACACACACACAGAACCATCGCAGGGCATGCCGGGGCCCGCGGGGAGCAAGCTTCCTCCAGCTCTGAGGGCGCTGGTCCCTCAGGCTGCATCTGGCTGCCCTGGGGGCCATGGAGGCTGAGCACCCGCTCTCCGTTAACCCATATGTGCTGACTGGGGAGCTCTGAGGTAGCATATTTCCATTTTCTTAAGGCACTGGCTCTCAGCTGGGGGCAACCCCCCACCCAGGGCATGTTTGGAAATATCTGGAAGCATTTTCGCGGTCACAGCGGAGGGCAGTGTGTGCTACTGGCAGCTGATCAGTCGAGATCAGTGACGCTGCCGAACACCCTGTGCTGCACAGCCCTCCTCTGCCCGGAAGAAGGAGCAGGGCCCAGCGTCCCTAGTGCTGCTGTTGAGAAACCCTGTCTGCAGGTGATAAGTTAAGGAAGGGCAATGTCTCTTGGTCTTGGTAAACCCAGCTTTAAAAATCTGTTGAGAAATTATAAACCCAAACAGAGCAGAGGCTCACCTGTCCTGTCCTTCCCTTTTTCTCCTTTTCTGTTTTAATGCCCCTTTTCCATTAAATTTATAGATTATTTTGCCTATCTCGATACTTTTTTTTTTCCTTCTTGTAGGTTCTTCTCACTAGATATTGGTAACTGAGAAGCCCGAATCCAGGGTCCCAGAATGAAATGTAGGCAACACCACACGCTAGAGTCGTCCCCGAATGTGGTGCTGACTTTAGGGAGACCCAAGGGGTGCCTGCTACTGCTTTGGAGAAGAGGGTAATGTATCTTCAGTTAGCTTTCCCTTAAATCCATCTGACACTGAGTGAAAAAACCAGCCAGCCAACCAACCATGAAAATAAACAAATACCAGCCCATTTTGGACAGAGCAAAAAACGGACTAGTGTGCATACAGCCCAGGAAAGCTGTCAGCAGCCATCAGTCTGCTGATCCCGGCTGGGTTTCAATCAGCATCTCCCTGCCATTCTGGGGTATTTATTCTACTAAAGATTTAAGCCAGTTCGTTTTTAAGGCAAGCCATCCTAATCCCCTCTATTTAACTTTATAACTTAATCTTGGTTACCAAGTTACTCAGCGAGCATGGAAGAGCTCTTCCCCTCCCGCAAACACGATTAACCTCTTAGCTTATTTTTCCTAAAGTCTCAAGGGCAGTGCCCCCCCGAGATGAAGGGGTAAAGCCACAGAGAGGAGGAGGTGGAGGGCAGGGAAATGAAGGAAGGAGGCCAGCCCCTGACTGAGAAGCGAGCCGGGTGCAGAGACAAGGCTTGGGCGTCTCTGCTCACACAAACCCTGCCAAAATTTGGCCATGGCCTAGAGCTGGGGGCTTCTGTTTCTTTTTTATCATGGCATTTGATGTCAACAGAGCACAGAGAAAACACAGGATGCAAATAATCAAAGGGCCTTGTCCATGGGACCAGGGCCCAATGCCAAGCTCTGCTTCCAACTTCAAGCTCAGAGGGAACTTCAGAGATTGAGTTTCAGCTTTTGGTATTCTGGGCCCACTCACCACAGGCGCTGCGCAGGTGCAGGAGCGCCCCTGGGACGCCATGCTACCCCACCCACCCGAGTCTTGGGGCTATAGTTGCCTCCCTGCCCCATCCTCCTCAGCGCCACTGGGAGCCCTGCCTGCATCTCCTGGGGCTCTCACAAGAAGATGGCCACATGTTGGCTGCTGACCAATAGGGGCTGCCCAGGGGGGCCTTCTCCTTATTGGTCCCCCTGCTGCTGGCAGGCTGGCCCCTGGCCCCCACAGCACACATCAGCCCGCCGCTCTGATCTTCCTCTTGGCTGAGGGCCATGGGGTTGGGGCACTGGCAATGGGTGGAGGGACGAAAATGGCAGTTTGGGGAAGAAAACATTTCAGTGTCCTCCAGAAAACCACGTCCAACAGAAAACCAAGCGGAGGCACTGATCGGTACCCCATGCCCCGAGCCCCCCAAGCCCCTGCCCAGAGGGGACGGGCCTGTACTCACGCTGCTGGGGTGCAGCACGGGCAGAGGGAGCAGCAGGAGCGGCGCGAAGACGACGAGCAGCAGGTTCCGGGCTCGCAGGAGGCCCTTGAGCAAACCCATCCCTCCGGCTCCGAGCGGCGGCCAAGGGCCTGGCTCCCCCTGGCACTGCTCAGCGCCCAGTCAGTCCAGGGAGCCTTCTTAGACCTCGGCCTCCAGGAGTCCTGTCCCGTCTTGGGGGCAGAAGAGCGCAGTTACAGCCCCGGTTTGCACAGAAGGCTGGGCTCTTCGTCTCCTGTTTTAGCTGGGATCGGTGAGCATCGTTTCATGCCCAGCAAAAGGAAACGGGGAAGGGTGACAGACGGGGACATCGTGGGTTCCCTCTGTTTGGTCAGTAAGAGCGGAACCTCATTCTGGGCTCAGCAAAAGCCCCTTCACCAAGCTGCTGCCGCTCGGCCTGGAAGAAGTCACTTAAAGGCTTTAAAAATTAAAAATACCCAGAGCATGTTGTGCCGTCCATCGTTTTCCTCTCTCTGATGGCCTGTTTTGGGCAGTACCAGTTTCACCTCCTACCTGTGCTTGCTGTGTCCCCTTCTCTTAAAAAAATCTGGTATCCCCTTTCCCTTAAAACAAGCCCCTTCCCCCCGAGTTTGTCGGCAGCAGATTCAAGCTTCTGAGAGGGCTGGTCTTCTCTCCCGGGATCTGGCACCTTAACTTGGTTCGTTTTTCCTTCACATTGGTTTCCCGCTTGTAATTTGCCTTGATCCTGGGCCTCCAAAGCAGAAAAAAAGTCCTGGAGACATTCCTTGTCACAGGACAAAATCTTGCTGGAGGCCCACCTTAACTTTCATTCACCTATGGGAAGCGGGGCTGAGGCAGCAGCCCCTCCCATTCCTCCAGGCCAATCTGCGTGTTGAAAAGAGTCAGGATCTCTTCCAAAGGCAGCTCTTGACCGGTCCCAGCAGGGGCCTGCTGATTGTGCAGAACCTCCTCAACTTGCAAAGCTTATTTTTATTTCCCCAACATCCTAGGGGCCGGAGTGATGACCTTCCTCATAAACATAATCCCACTTCCCAAAGCACTGCCTTATCACCGCGGGCCACAGCACACACAACTCACCCAGAGGACCACTTGCTGGCCTAGTCCTTAGCAAGTTGTGTCTGGTGGTAGGGAGAAAATAAAGTATTAATTCTGGAGCCATTTGCCCCAGGGTGTACAGTATCAAGCCTTTCGGGCTTCCCTGGTGGCAGAGATAGTTTGCTTCAGCATCTGGATGAATGCTCAAGTGCCTGGGTCAGCACAGAGTGATAGCCGGGAAGAAAGACCACAGACCCTTTCTGGGAGAATGGGGAGGGGAGCTGCCTCTCTGGAGAAGTCTAGATGTCAGGCTCATTTCAAAGGCCCTTGGAGCCCAGATGTCAGTGGTGTTTTGGCTGAGGTAGGTGCTCAAATGCTCCTCTCTGAGGCTCTTTATCAAAAAACAGGCAGAAGGCGCCTTTGGCTGGTATGCAGGGAGCTGGTAGGAGGGCAGGGAAAATGTTGACAAGTTCGGGGTCAGGGCCTTAGCAGCTGTTGACCTCTGGAGTTCCTGCTGCTTACAGACTGCAAGAAACTGTCCGCCTCTTTTCTCAGAAAGAACTTGTGACTTTGGGGCAAGGGAGAAAAAAAGGAAAACCCCAAACGTTCTCTAAGTAGTAGTCCTTGGCAAGCATTGCCTTGATCTGGGAGTTGTTGAACAAAATCAAGGATTATGCAATTAAGGTTTTCTTGACTGCAGAATGCTGGGAATAGCATTCCAAGGCCTGCAGTTATACTGGTTGGGAATGATGACCAGGCTAAAGGGAAGGTGAGCAGAGAAATGACTCCAGAAAACCAGTTCTTCTTGACCTCTAAGGCAGGGGCAACCATGGACAGCTCGCGTCCCCTCTGGAATTAATTACTTGCCATTAGAAGATGGGCTGTCTTGACTCATCTCTTCAAATGCATGTTAAGGCCTGGCTACTGTACTTAGCATGTACATTTTTGTGATGATTTTAAAGCTCACAGTGAATAATACCACATGTTTTAGTGGCAGACATTAAAGAGACTGGGTAATAATAAATAGCTATGGAAGTCCACATCTGCTGTTAAATCCACGAGCTGCTTCAAATTCCTTGGCGAGATAATCTGAGATAACAAAGATTCCACTGAGCCTAGTAACTTGATCATGGCATTTTTATTACACCATAAGTAAGTATTTGTTAAATAAAATACAGGCAAGGTGAGTGACCCAGTAAGACTTGTAATTCTCCTTCAGGACTCTATCCATTTTTCAGATGAAGAAAACATTTTCTGGAATATGATGTTTAAGAAATGTAAGACAGATTCCACTTATATAAGGTATATAAAGTAGTCAAATTCTTAGAAACAGAAAGTAGAATGGTAGTTGCCAGGGGCTAGAGGAAAAGGGAAAAGGGGAGTTGTTCCATAGGGATCATTTTTTGCCAGATGAAAAGGTCTAAGCAATCTGTGACAAAATAATGTTCATGAATGTAACATTATTGCACTGTACACTTAAACATGGTTCAGATGATAAATTTCAAATCATGTTTTTTTTATTACCACAATAATAACAAAATGTAAGACATTAAAATGGGTTAGGAAAGTAAGAGGCACCATGTAAAGTCATTTAATAAACATTTAACTTTAGACCAGTTTACCTGTGGAAATACATTCTGACTGATTTACCACTTATTTTGCTGATTCTCTTACAGTTAGATTCCAGGTGAGATGACAGAGCAATGTAAGTTTTAGCACATCAATGTTTTTCAGTGTCTCAGGTGACATCAAAAGAAGCCATGGGCATGTCAACTATAGAGGAAACTTCCAGAAGTTTTAGATCCTAAAACTTCCCAGCAGTATAGAAATGGCAAAATTGGTTCCATAAGTCAACAGCAAGTTGCCACTACAAGCATCACACCCCAAATTATTCTGTCTGAGTAAATATGACAAAAAATGACTCATTTGTGACTGTGGTATGTACAGGGTGTCATTAATAAGGCAAAATGGGAGAGTCCCTTTCTGTCCAGTCTGTCCAGGACAAAGAACCAGGTCTTTGGGTGGTAGTGGTGAGCATATTTGATTTTGCATGTAAGTGAAGTTATTGTTATACAACCTTTTGTGGGTAAACAACAGATTTGTATTCAGACTTAAATAGTGTTTAAGTGTCTAGCTCCTGAAAATGAAATTTTCATTTGTCTTTAAAAAGATCATGCCCTTCTCATTTCTGTTTTGTTCAGTCATTGCTTGCCAAATAAATATGGGCCCAGATGTATGAGTTGAAAAGTGCCTTTATTTTCTTGTTGCAGGGTGAATGAACTACCATTGCTGTCACTGGTCCTGGAAACCATCTTCCCATTCATGGATCTCCTACCCCTGGGAGCAGCCCCGTATGTCATAATATGGTAGGCAGGGTCTACGGGGCGGGTCTTCCCACCTGGTGAACAAAAGAAAGCCTGAGATACATTGAGCTGGAATGGATGTGAGCCCCAAGGGTAGAACCCCAGGGTGAGAGGCAGGCTCTGACTGTCAGGGTATCGCACAGTGTCTAGGGAGTCAGGCCTCTCTTGACCCCTTCCCAGGAGAAGCACAAACAGTGAAGGTAGGCAGACAGGCTGATCCACCTTCCAGGCAATCCCAGCCCTGACTGTACACTGACTTTTGTTTTAGTCGGACATTGATACCCTAAGGAGACTAGAAGAGTGTCAGAGTAGGGGCAGACAGATAGGGCAGGCAAAAGTCAGCCAGAAGAGACCTGGGGGGTACCTCAGGATAATTAGAACTGGGCCCAAAGATAGAGCAGCAGAGACACCAACTAAAATACAATAGAAGAGACAAATGGAATGGCCATGTCAGAGTGAGCATGTAATATTAGAAAGAGAAAAGTTGAAGAGAAATACCGTATCAGAGTCCGCATGTGAGGGAGGTAAAAAAGCAGTATGTATGCTCAGGGAATGAGAACCAGACAGACCGACACTTAATCTTAGCCTGAGAACATCAGGATGCAAAGCTGTATTTTTCTGATGATGAGTATCTTTTTCCTGAACCCTGGTATTTCTCAAGAAAGATTGTGCAGCTTGTGCTGCTAGGCAAAGCTCACTCATTCAAAGATTTTAAAGAAGTTCAGACCAGCTTTCATCATCATTAGATGATGACTGTTAAATACCCATTTCAGAATCAAAATTAGACCACTGAATCTTCACTTGTGCAAAGATCAAGCAAAGTGCTTGCAGCTTTAGCCTCTAGAACCCAGCCGTAAACCCAGGAGGAGCCAGAGGGGCTTCTGAGCCAGTGCTTTCCTCCTAGCAGAGGCCTTCATCTACCAACTCTCATTTAATATAGAATTATGACAAACCTAGCAATCTTATTTTTTAGATAATGGCAGCTAAAAAAGAAACAGATTGCAAAGGGCAAGTGATGTTGGCAACCAAGGACAGTGCGCTCTTAGAGGCTAGGAGTGAGGAAAGCAGCAAAAACCCCAGACTGAGAACCCAGGCTTACCCCAGACTGAGAATTAGCAAAGCCCGGAACCTTTCAGGATCGGCACAGATAGCGCAGCAGATCTCTCAGGTCCCTGTGTCCGCCCTGTAATATCGCTCTGTTAGCTGAATGTGGAACTTCCAGAAAGTAGAGGACTGTTAGAGGTTATCTTATCTAACTCCATCATTACAGTGTTTCTTCAAATGTACTAAATATAAGCTTAAGGAATTTCATATAGAGTTCATAGTTCAGAAAATATCAGGTCAGTATTTCTAAAATGAAAGTTTTGGCATTTGAAAGAGTAAAATTTTGTCATCTGAAAGTCATTTGTATTTGATGTAGCTAAATCATTTTAGCATTAGCGTAGACAGGCATGGCCGTTGGTACCACTTCTTTTTAGCATGACCCTCTCTGCCACAGCTTGGTTTCTCTGTTCAAAAGACAAGGCATGCCCGTAGCATCCTGGGTCCCTCTTCCTGTTTGTCATCTGGATCAGCTAAGTCTTCAGAAAAGAAGAGTCAAAACATGTAGGTCATAAAGTTACTGACTTTCTAACAGATTCTTCTGGGCGACTCTGGGAAAAGTTGAGAAGTATATCCTTGGCTAACAGTGTATTTATTTATTTGGCTATAGCTCTACTTTCTTTATATCTTACTACAGAACCTGTGGAGATATATTCATTCAAACCCGTACCCTGATCTCTTAGGACCAAACAAATCTGTCCCCCACCTTCCCGCCATGCCCAACCCTCTACGAGCTCCTCTAGCTGTGTCCTCACTCCTGGGTGCTGGTGGCCGTCACTCAGTGCGAAGCATGCCATCAGGCAAACCTTTCAGCCCCTGGAGCCATCTTGAATTGCCACTCCAGTCCTTCCTTCCAGCCCAGGTCACATTCTGACATGAATCAGATGTGCCTGTCAGGAAGCTACAAGGGGCAAAGGGCATTGGGATTACTTATTTTATCTTTGCTGCTCTGAGTCGGTGGTATGTGTTTTGTTGCTGGTCCCTGGAAACAGAGTAGAGAATGAAGACTTTCTGGATTACTGTGTGTGCTGGTGCCGGCTCTGTGGTCCTGGTGCAGGCCAGTCTCAGCGAGATGCTCTGGGGCCTGAGGACCTCATCAAGTCGTGCCTCAGGGCTTGGAAGAGGCTGAGGAGGGACTGGGCCCAGATGTCCTTCTGATGCCCCTGGGACTGGGCTGTGCGGTAGGCTGTGTAGGCCAGAGTCAGGGCTGTCCTTTCAAAGTCCTCTTTCTTGAGGATGCCGGGGTGGCTGGAGAGGCTGGCGCTGAGCCGGCGGATGTCTGGGATGTGCTTGGGGATCACTTCATTGCAGACGGTGCGGAAGTCAGCGGCCTTCCGCAAGGAGGAGAGCTCCTCGTCCTTGATGGAGATTTTCAGGTCGGGGCTGATCTCAAGTTCAGCTAACAGGAACTGGGGGAAATACAGGATGTGGAAAGACATGAGGCATTTGAGCATTGCTGAGGACACCATTATTCATTATCACATGTGCTCATGGAGGGAGGCAGCTGTGGGAAGAGCTCTGGAGTCCAGGAGACCTGGATTTCAACTTCCCCACTGACTGGGTCAGCTTGGATGCATTACTTAACTTCTCTGAGCCTCATTCTCCTCTGAAACGATGAGTGGCAGCAGTGCTGCACTGGGACATTGTGGGAAGTAAATGGGACAAATTGGACAACATAACACCATGCCGGGTACAAAGCCTCATTCAAGTGACTACTTATTCTTCCTGATGTCCCCGGACCAACCCCTTCTTGCCTTTTCCCCTTCCATCCACCAAAGATCTTCTAAAGCATAAAGTGGCTATTTTGGATCATTTAAAATCAGAAGCTGGGAATTTGAAGAATGCAGAGAACTGTGCTCGGAATTCAGGGGGATGGAGAGATTTGTCCTTGCACCTCACCTGTTCTTTAAGAGTAGGGGTGGGTTCCACACAGTAACCTAATAAATACCTCTTGGACTCAGGATTTTAGCTCTTTTCTCTGTCTCCGACTTCCCCTGACTCCAGTCTGTCCTCCTGTTATCTTTCTGAAACAAATGTGTTCATATGACCCCCATGTGCAAGACTTGGCAAAGGATATCTCCGCATTTGCCAGCTTGTTCCCTGAGGAAGGAACTGAAGTCTCTCCCTTAGCTTAGCTGCTTGGCTGCAGCAGGCTGTCCCTTTCTTGGGCCAGATAGTCTCATCCATTGGGGTGTCAGAGGATGTCGGGGCAGAGGGTGATTGTAGAGATCATTGTAGTTCCTCACTTAACAGTTGAGGAAAGAGAAATGGTGGCTTGTGCAAGGTCATGTAGCTCATTGGGGGGCAGAACCGGAACTGAATCTCAGAACTTGAACCTGGGGTTTTATCATTGAACCAAACCAAATGGCCTTGGGAAATTTACCTGTGGTTTGGAGGACAAGTGGGTCTTAGGGGTGGTGGTGTGGGAGGCAGAGGAAGAAGCCTCTGGAGTGGCCCAGACTGTCCAAAACTGAGCTGTCACACTGTGCAGGTGCTGGAGACACACCTCTGCTCAGACGCGTTGCTTGGCAGCACCTGAACACTAGTGACGAATCCTGCTTCAAAGCCTTCCTTGAGAGTATTGACCCGCTTTGCTGCTGACCTGGTGGCAGTGGCATCTCTGGGCCAAACCTACATCTCTGCTTTTCCCTCGACTGAACTCCTAATGCTGTCATTCCCTCTTAAGACATGTAGGAAAGGGAGGAGTAGCTTACTTTGGGATGGGCAGGGTTCAGTGACCTCCCAAATTAGTCCAGGCCAGTCCCTGTGGCAGCAGAGGCCACTCAGAAGGGACTCACATTACTTCTCCTCCAGAAAACATAGAGAAGGAGCAGAGCAGTGCATTTTGGGGAGCTTGAATTGCCCACTGTCCCATCTGCCTACCTCATAGAGCAGTTCTACTTCCTCCAGGGAGCTCTGCAGGATGGGGTTCAAGGGCATTGATGAGGATCTCTTTGGCCGATGGGCAGCAGGGAAAAGCATGGCTGTAAGAAACAAGAGTGAGCTCTAGGGCTGCTGTGTGCTCTGGCCTCCTTCCTCTGCTTAACCCTGAGGTCAAGGTTGAAGGTGCAGACTTAAACATGACTGGCTCCAAGTGGTGGTGGACATAAAGCAGGGAGAGGTGACAGACAAGCTAATTCAGACCAGTGATTTCAGATTTGCTCATCAGAATCAACAAAGTTTGGGAAAACATATATGTCCAGGGATATGTATACCCTGGGGTATTTATATGAAAACAACACAAAATGAAACAAAACAGAAATGAGCGAACAACACCTGCCAAATTCAACAAATAAGCTCTCTAGTAATACTGCTCCCCAATAGTAATAACACCATTCCTTCCTAGTTTCCTAATAGTACTGGTCCTTCATAGAGCACGTTTGAGCTGTTGATCAGTTCAAAGCTGGTTTGTCTTTGTTGACATCCCTTTTAATCAGAGGATCAGACTTCTGGCTATTCCCCAGCATCTGGAATGTAGCTGCCACAAATCTGAACACCGGTGACCAAGTAAAGAAAGAGCTGCCACAAACCCTGGGACTTGACTCAGGGGTGTGTGGAGCCAAGCTCAGGGCTTCCCCCAGGGGCCAGCTGCCTTAGAAATGCATTTGGTGTGAAGTCAGTGACTTTCCAACAGTGTTCAGGGTGTTTGTATTTAGAAGTGGTATCTGGAAGAAGATGGATGGGCCACTAGAGAGAGAGGGGTAGCAAGAATTAAGAACAGACTAAGGACATGTGAAGGGCAAGTCAGAATATCACAGAGTGGTTGAGGACTCATTACCAATTGCAGTTCTCCAGGCTAGGAGGAGACAGCCCTTCCTCCCCGCAGCCCCTCTGGGTACCAGGGCGCAGTGCAGCAGGGATTGGTAAGCCTGCTCCCAGTTGATAGAAAAAAGAGGCAGCTTCTTCAAGACGCTTGATTGTGATCTGCCAGAAAACTGGACAACTTAACTGTACCAATCTGTGAAATCCAAGGTAAGTAGCGCCCCTGAAGTTGTGCAAAGCACAACTCATGTGGCCACACAAGACAGCTCTGCCTCTTGATAATGGTGCCCTTGGGCCATCAAGAAAGGGTCCAGTGATTTTCAGGGTACTGTGTTGACAAAGGCAGGAAACTGCATTAGCATTTTAGAAGGATTGCTATCAAAAGTGATAAAAATGAAGCATCTTCAACATAAAGGACATATCTTGAGAAAGCTCACTGGTAGGAATCTCCCACTTGCTGGGAAACGCTGGCTGGCTGTAGTATTGTTGTAACATTGCTTTCTCTGTAACTCACTTCTTATCTACACCACAAGCTCCTCAGGGGCTAGGGTAAATATGGTTTTCTGGAGACCCAGGCTTCTAGGGTGTGTGCTGGGCACAGCTGTCGGCTGGTCATTCCCTGCAGTGAAGCAGGCAGAGTGACCAGCTCTGCTTCCCCCGTCCACTTTTGGGGAAGTAGGCTGTGAACTCCAAAGCAGTACATTCTGCCCTACTACAAATTGTAGTAGAATTTGTTCTCTTTGCCAAGAAAGTGCCAATTTCCAACAGATCATAGATTTCAGGCTTGAGGAGACCTTTGCCTCTGTTCATACGTGGCCTCTACCTGTAGTTGCTGGTGGAGCTCAGGAGGGCGAGGCGCCCCCTATTCCGTGGGTTTACAACCTCACCCGCACATTAGAATCAAATGATTCTAATCACCACATTGCTCCAGCTGCTGCTTTAAAAAATATGGATGCCTGGAGTATAGCAAGAGCAGACAAGTAGTGACTCCATAGCATCTTACTACGCTGATGGACAGTGACTGCAATGGGGTGTGTGGGGGGACTTGATAATATGGGTGAATGTAGTAACCACAATTTGCTCATGTGAAATCTTCATAAGATTGTGTATCAATGATACCTTAATAAAAAAAAATATATGGGTGCCTGGGTCCCACCTCCAGAGGTTCTGATTTAACTGAACTAGGGTGCATCTGGGACAGTAAGATTATAAAAAGCTTCCTATGTAGTTCTAATGACAGCCGAGGTTGAGAATCAGAGGGCACTTGGATTTTTAGAAGGGGCTGCCCTGGCGGTGCCAGCCCAGTGATTCTCAACCTTGACTGTACATTAGAATCTCCTGGGGTCTTTAAAAACCCAAATGCTCAAGGTCACATCCCAGGCCAATCGATGGGCCTCTCTGGGACGATGTAGGCATCAGGACTTGTTACAGCTCCCAGGTGATCATTAGGGCAGGCAGGGCTGATGACCAGTGGGGTGCCCAGATCCATGGCTCAGCAGCCGGTGCTGCCCTGCTGCCACACAAAGCCCACTGCCATTTGAGGGGCCCTCACAGCGGCATCTGGAGGGACCAAGGCCATCACGCTTTCGGAGACAAATGACTAGAGGCACTCAGTGCACGCGCCTTAACTGCTTCTCCTCGGTGAGCAGTGACGCCGGGACCAGGCCCGCGCCCGCACCAGGATGTGACCTGTTTGTGTCCATGTGCCCTTCTTTGCTTTCTACTATGAAAGGGTGGAAGAAACCCCCTTCTCAGGATGGGATCTAAAAGCAACTTTACTTCTTTAACTCTTCTCCCAGAATTCCTCTCTTACTGTGAAATTAAAGGTATTTTCCCTTAAAAAAATTTCACACCCCCAAAATCAAAGGTATAGGCATGAAGGACCTGGGCGCAGAGCCCTTTCTGCTCTGTCACCTGAGATTTGGGATGGCAGCCTTTCGGGAACGTCGTCTGCGGGCTCAGTGTCTCCCTGTGCACACCACACTCCTTCGACACGCACAGCCCAGGTGGACTCCGTTCTCAAAGAGTGGGGAAGAAAATGCTGCCTTATTCGAAGCTCAGTGTAATAACGGGACCGTGTGCCTCCCGATGACCCATGTTCCCACGCTTGTTCGCCCTCTAGACTAAGGGATGATAACTGCTTTGGAAAGTGTGGCGGGGGCTCGGAAACCTGAAAGATGGACCCCCACTCCTTCCGCCCACCCCTCGCATGGCTCCACCTCCTTCTGCTGGTCCCCTCACATTGCTGTGGCTGCTGGGACTGTGTGTCCGGCACGTGCTTTTCTGCCCCCTTAGACCATGGACGTCTTTGCCTTCAGGCCAAGACGAGGCCTGGAGAGAGTGAGTGCCCCTCCACAGGGATACTGGAGGTGGTGGGCGAGAAATAAGCTGTCTGGTCCATGCCAAAACATTTGGGTAAAAAGTTCAATGTACAGTCACCCCAGATGTTCTGGTCTGTAACCGTGAAGGCTGGACCCTGCCAGAAGTGCAAATGGCCCAAACAAGAGATGCCCAACCCTCAGAGGTGTATGTGTGCAAAGATTTAACCTAGATTGGCTCCCACATAGTTAGCAAAACCACCCTGCTCCCCAGGAGGCCTGTCCCGCAGCCCCACTGAACACCATGGTTCCTTCTCTGTTACGCTTTCTGCACCTCTTCCACACGTTTCACACTTCGCTGTCTATCACCCTGCAAGGACTCATCGGGATTGCCAGCTCCGGGGAGGGAAGGAATGCATTTTATGCTTCCCCTGCTTGACCTCAGTGTCTGCATGAAGCTGGGCTCCCAGCACAGGCTCAATATATATTTTGGAATGATTTAAAAAATAAAATAGCTATTTTTAAACAACTCAACCAAACAAAACAGTGGTGTGGAGACTCTTCAGACTTTCCTGGTTTTTCTCCCCATCCCTTCCACTGTTCCCTAGGTGTATAGGGTCCCCTTAACTTCTGCTCTCTCCTCACTGAGTGGTCAGTGAATGGCTTCAGGCAGCACTGCCTTGCCCAGGCTGATCGCAGGGGGACCTGAGTCTCCCACTGGATGGCCAGAAGCATCCACACCTCTGAGAGGGGGGAGACCAGAGACTGGCAGAAGGATCCCACTCCCTCCTTGGTGCCACTTGAGCACTGAGCCTCGGACAAGAAGGCTACTGGGACAGATTTGTCAAAATCACTGACTTTGTATACCTTCTGCTTAGTGTCAAACTGGGCCAATTTGTTTTATTCTTTGCCACAGCCAGATATTTCTTCAGGATGTGAAAATGCCCAGGAAGGCCATTCAGTGTGACCAGGGGACACCAGAGATTGCCAGGCTCCTGGCATGAAGGTCTGCTGCAGGCTGGGCCTTGGGGTAGGGTGCTGGAGCTTCTCCCCTCCTCCCTAACGCCCTGGACAAATGAGCCCTCAGGGGAAGTTGTCGGCAGTACATGGGACCCAGCAGCGTAGAATGAATGATTCACTTGTTAACAATCATGCCCCCTGCACTACACACTACGTTAGTGCAGGCTGGATCCAAAAATCCAGGAGTCATGTGTTATAGCATGTTCGGTCCATGTCTTCTGTTGAAAGGTGCATTCAGACCTCAGACCAAAGTTGTTAAAATGTGCAGCTCATGAGCCCACAGTGTGCTCATAAAATAGCTGTGCTTGTGGACTAACAGCTCACGAGCCCACTGTGGGCCAGTCAGCGTGCTTTGTCCTTTCCATATGGGCCTTGGGAGGTAAGTAGAATTGTTCCATTTTATAGATGAAGGAATTTGGAGGTTAAGAAACTTGCCCTGGGTCACCCAGTTTGTTTGCCAGGGGACTGAGATTGAAACCCAGATGTCTCAGGCTCCAAAAAAAACCCAATCTCACTGATAAAGTGAACAATGTTATCTTTTTGAAGGTACATCTCTGCCCCTAACTAGGTGTTTTTCAGTTCTGAATAACACCAGGAAGAATAGTGTACTTGATTATGAATGAATGAATGCATTTGGTATAAAACATTCTGAAGTCCTTCATACGTACTTTAAAAAGATCTCTGACTTTAATTTATGATAATATGAGACACAAGGTCAAATAACTGACCCTGTGATCACTCTCCAGCATATACCCTCAGCTCCTTGGTTTTTGCAGTCACCTGGCAAAAGCACAACCCTCTCTATCTGCCTGGCCCGCACCGGCCTCAGCTGTGGCTCTCCCCCTTCAGCCACACTGACTTCCAGCTTCATATTTCCAGGCCACACACACACACACACACACACACACACTCACACACACATTCCTGCTTTGTTTGCAGTCTTCTTCCTCATCCCTCTCCATTGCTCAGGCCAACAACCTGGGAGTCATCCTTGATTCTTCCTTGGTTCTTCTTTTTCTTTCAGGTCCCACATCTAACTAATCAGCAAATCTTGTCAGCTCTGCCTTCAAAATATATCTGGAATCTGGCTATTTCTTGCTACATCGCTGCCGGCCTGCTGGTCTGAACCTTGAGCATTCCTCCTAATGGTGCCTCTACTGCCATCCTTGGTTCCCACCCTCATTCCATTCTGAACAGCAGACTAAAGTAATTCTGTGAAAACCTAGGTCAGACGATGTCACTCCTGTGCCCAGAACCCTCTAGGGCTTTCCCTCACTCAGGAAAAGCCAGAGCTCCTCAGATGGCTACCAGGTACTATACACCTGACTTCTTGGTACCTGTCTGAACTCAATCTGCTTTCTCCCTGGCTCCTGCCACCCCTGCCACAGGCCTTCTCACTGTGCATTGGGCACACCAGGCATACTTCTGCCACAGGACCTTGACATTTCTGTTCCTTCTGCCTGGAATACTCTTTCTCCAGTGACTACAGGGCTCACTCCCACATTGCCTTCAGGTCTTTAGTCACTTCCTCAGGAAGATCCTCCCTGACTGTTCTATTTAAAATTATAATCCTCTATGCCTCTGTCCCTAATTTATTGCCATCTAGCAAAGCAGATGTCTTATGTATGTGTTAATTGCTTCCTTCTCACTAGAATGTGAGCTCCATGAGGGAATGGGATTTTATTTTGTTTACCACTGTGTTCCTGGCACCTAGCATCCTGCCCATAACTATTTGTTGAGTGAATAAACAATCCTAAAGAAACACATTAACTACCTTTGTCACTAAACTGTTCTTTTCACAGTGCTTCACTAAATCCTTTTCCAGGATGATTCTAGAACTTATTTGCAGCTGATTATCAGAAGCCTGAGGAGCCCCTGTTCTGGCCTGCAAGAACTTATTTTTAATTATCTCAGTCAAAACTGGCACCTGCCTCCCCCACACCTTAGCCTGTCCAAACCTTCTTGCCCAGATATACAGGCAGAAAGCTCTCTGAGTAGAAGAGCTTGTCTTTGTTTTGCAGACTGATCTCTTTGACATTTTATAATCTGGGATAAAAATCTTTTTTCCTCCCATCTCCAAATATGTTCACTATAATAGAAGAGTGTCAAAGCTAATTATGGTTTCCATGTAACCGTGTGCAGCATTTTTTACCAAAGAGCTTGTTGGAAAGGTTCAAACTGAAGACCATATGTGGATAAAGTGAAGGTTCCTGTGGCCAGGACTCTCACCTGGCCCTGGTCGGCTAGCTCACTACACACATGTGGGCAATACGTTGCTATTGACTCTATATAAAAGAGCTCCACCCAGTGCTCTGGGCTACTTGGTGGCACGGCAGCAGGGCTGCAGGGCTGCATGGCTATAGGATAGCAGAGACTGGGGTGGTGGCAGTACTGAGGACAGAGACCGACACGGCTGCGGAGGGCAGAGGGGCCCAGAGACAGGGACCAGCTTGCTGCATGCAGACTTGCTCTGAGTAGATGGGATTCTAGTGCTTGACCTGCCACTGTGGGAATAAAGTTGGGTATAAACCCTTTCACCCCAGGAACGTTCCATTGTCATTCTTTAGTCTCACTGAATCCATAGTGCACTTGCCTGGGGCAGAAACCATTGAGAAGACACCATATCAAGCCAAAGTACAACCATATTTTTAGTGAATAACTTGAAGCAGCTTTATGGAAAGGACAGTGGGTGTGGAAAGGAAAAGCTCTAGTTTCTAAAGGATCTTTTGCCAGATCCTATTGATGTCATTCACTTCGTTGCTCCTGGGCCAACCCTTTAGAAGCAGTGATACTCTGAGCTAGCCAAGACTTTGACCCATGTGCTGGGGTCCTCTGGAGGTGCTTCTGATGGGCTGCTGTGAGTCAGCTCCCCTGCCCAGAATGTCCCACCACCTGGGGAGCTCCCACCACCCAAGGGAGCTTCTGGCTTCTGGAAACAGGGGCACCCCAGGAAGGGATGGAGAGGGGATGAATGAGATGAGGACAGCTAGACTCTGCTGCCATACACTGGGGGTGGGTGTCAAGACCCAGCTCTATCCAGCCAGCTGAGAGACCCGGGGCACATCAGCCTCTCACCCATCATCTGGCTGCCTGAGCTGTAAAGGTCAGCTGGCTGGGACTCGGGCCAGGCGTGCCGCCTCCCCAGCAGCCCCCTGTCCACAGGTGAGTCACTGGGCCTTCATGGGGTTGGTGGGGCTGGAACGGCGGTGCCCGCGACCCTGGCGGGGAAAGCTGCCTCCCAGGGCGGAATCCTAGAGAGCATCTCCGGGAGAAGCTGGGAGAATGGTAGGAAAAAGGCCGTCCTGCCGGCAGGGTGTGTTCCTTTTGGGTTTATTTCCACATTTCTACATGGGGCAGGGGCGGGTGCGGGTGGAGGCTGGGCCTGGGGTGGAGGAGGAGGATCTTGCAGGGAGAAGTCGCCCTCTGTTTCCAAAGGGAATCCTCAATTAGTCCTGGAGCTGGGCGGGGGCTGGGTAAGGTGGCAGGTGAGGGCAACAGCGTGGACATTTGGAGAAATTGTTTTCCTTTGGGTGTGACTCCCATTCTGTCTTTTAAAAAATGGGGGTTGTGTTAAAAAAATATGTTAAAAATGAAAAATAGTTCACTGCTTGGAAGACTTCTGATGGTCGGAGGGACTTTGTCAGCTTGTGCGCCCTGAGCTCCGCGTGGCCGTGGCTGCGGTCCCGCCCTCACACTGGCGGCCGCCTCGCGGGCTCTGGCCTCGCGTCTTATCTGGACGTCGCTGGGGGCAGACCTGCCCCAGTGAGGGGGCGGGGCCAGACCCTCGCCCTCAGCGGGTAGCCATAGGACTGCCTGCCGAGAGCCTCAAACTTTCTTTCAGGACATTTTTTCATTTTTTAAAATGCTAGTCAATAGATAACGTTTATAGAGTTCCTCATCATTTACAGAGCACTTTATTAGCATTTCTGAATACGACCCTCACAGCAACACGGGTAAGGGTTGTTATTGTTAATGTTACCTGTCAGTGAACTAAAGCACAGAGAGGTAAAGAGACTTCCCAAACATCACACAGCCAAGGAGAGGCAGAACTTAAATCTCGGAGTTCCTTGCAGGGGAGCTCATAACATGGCTTTATGTTCACATGCATGTTACAAATCCAGTAATCTCTTTTGACTTTCTGGCGGCCTGTGTGTCAGGAAGAGTGGATATTGTCATCCTTTTTTAATAGGCAAATTAAAGGAGGCCCCAGTACCACAGAGGAGTAAGTGGCAGAACCCAGTGCCAATGTCTGTTTGCTCTCAACTTCTAAGTGTTGCCCTCGAAGTTAGTGCACATATCATGAGCAGGGAGGGGTGTCTGTGTGTGAGAGAGAGAGGGGTTATCAGAAGATAGAGAAAATTTTATGTTTGTTATTTGCCTCTGGGCAGCAATCATTTCACAGCTCAGCTCAGAGAATTGGCAAATTCCTAATTTCAGGCTTAAAAATGAGGGAATAAACCCCAAATAAGTGCCGTGGTGTTTGCCTCTCCGCACTTCAGATCCAGTTGCTCTGTTCTGCTCTCCTCCCGCACTGGCCACTCCTTTCCTCCCTGACGCTCCTTGGGAGCCAGGAGGCTCAGCCACTGCCATGCCAGTCTCCGTCCTATTTGGGATGTCTAGAAACACCTGTGAACCTGACGTCTTTTTCCAGTTCTTTTCGGGAGACCACCTCAGCTGACATTAGGCAGCAGAAAGATTTCAGTTGAGATGGGCAAGGAGTGGGCAGCACCCCTTGGCCTTCTCTTCCTAACAGTGAGAGTAATTGGCTTTTGGCAACCCAAAAGTAATTGGCTGCAGGGGCTGCCAACTCGAGCCTGTCCGGGGCATGGGGGAAAAGATGCCAGGCTGGCTTTAAGGAGCTACATCCCAAGGAAAGGAAGTCGGCTGTGAGGGAAAAGCCTTGCTGAGCCCTTTCCTTTCCAGGAGAACTGACAGGGCCAGGGGAGTTGCAGGGGGACAGACACGTGGGTGCTGAAGGGTGCTCTTCCCCTCCTGCCACTGGGCCAGCTCCGCTGGAAGGCTGTGTCCATCCCTGCTCAGAAAGCAGTGTGCTGACCTCCAAGTGCACAGCCTACACCCGGGGCCTTTTGTCGGGTCCCCACATAGCAGGCCTTTTGCACTGGGCACCCACAGTACCCTGGTGTTAGTGTCAGTACTTGGCACTGCTCCCCACCCACCCTGCCTGGCTAGGGGGACTCCAGGGAGTCTATCCACATTCTGTGAAGCACAGGTGATTTCGCCCCAGCATGTCAGAAAGGATGCCCTCTGTGCTCGCCACCTCATCCATGTTCCCTCAGTGGCTTTGATTTTTTTCAGTGTCATTTCCCCTGTCACCTTCCAAAATGTCAAGAAGCATAAAGCAGTTGTCAGCTATGAGATAAAAGGAGGGCATGGGACTTCGAGTTTCCTTCCACTCCTCCACTCTCCCCACTTCCTTCCCCCACCCCCCAATTCCTACTTGTATTTAAGAAAGAATAATGAACATCAAACAAACAAATAAATCAAAAGCAACTCACCCCTGCCCCACCTGGGGGGCACAGTGGCCTGAGCATCATAATACAACAGCAGAAGCAGCAACGTCTTCCAAGACATCTTTTCCTTCAAAAAGGTAAACAGTTGCCTTCAAACCCGGTGGGACCCCAGGAGCTACAGGTATGCCCACACTGGTCCTCCCCGTGCAGAGGTGGAGTTCTTACCACCCCTCCCTTTTATAAATGCAGAGATGCCCTCGCCCAGCTCGGGTGGAGGCAGAGGCTGCCTGCTGCGGGGGACGGGGATTGGGACTCCTGTTAATCTGACTCTCTCCGGGATTGGGAGACTGGCCTTCCACAGAGAGACTCTGTTTTTGAGAACATCTGGAGTGACTCACGGGGCATGTGATCTCCTTGGCAGTGGGGCGGATAAATATAATTTCTGTACTTGAGTTCCATGTGTTGGATGGACCCACTGGAATTTTTCTTTTGCAAACAGACTCGTGGAACTTGTTAGAGAGCCCGGCGAAGACCTGGCTGCTGTCCCTGTCCCCACACACACTCACCACAGCCAGGGGCAAGGGTTGCAGCAATCACTGGGAGGCTTGTCTGGTGGACGCCGGGGCTGGCTGAGGCCAGAGTTGCCTTCAGGACAGCAAAGTCACTGTGGCATCTGGAATGTCACTTGTTGTGTTGCTCTTGCCTGGAACTAGACCTAGTGATATCAGTGCCTAGAGGCGGCTCTGGGAGCCTTCCCCAGGTTCTGGATGGCGGGGGAGCTGTCAGGTGGGGAGGAGCAGAAGTAGAGAGGTGCCATGGCATGTAGGTATTGTTTATGCAGATAATGATCCAGGGGCCCTTAGGTGATCCTCTCGTCTCTCACATTCATGACACCATGATTTCTGGACTGTGTGTAGACCTGGGACCAAACACTTGGATTCTCCCAGGCAAAATGTTAGTGTTTTTTTGGTATTAATTAATTTTTATTGAGCTATAATTGACACATAACACTGTATAAGCTTAAGGGGTACAACACATTGATTTGATACACTTGTATGTATTGCAATATGATCGCCACCATAGCGTGAGCTAACCACTCCCATCACGTCACATAATTATTTCTTTTTTGTGATCAGATTGTTTAAGATGCATGATCATTTTTAAAGCATGCCATAGACACCTTGATTTTGTTCAATACCATTTCCTCACCTTCTCTGAAATGACAGATGTTGTAATGCTAAACCCTGAAGGACATTTTAAGATGATCTAACCGTGGGGGTTTCCACCTGTGGAGTGGTGTCCTGGGTGAATAGAGGGGGAATCTCTTCTGCTTCAATCAGAACCCCTTGTCTATCTGTTGTTAGAAGACTTGCTTGACAAAAAAACTTGATGATGAAATTTGAAAATTTTATGGATCTTAGTAATATTAACAATAGCTCTTGGGTGTTTAATTTGTTCCAGGCACTGTCCTAGATGCTCTCCTTGTATTGATTGAGTTAATAGTCACACTAAGTTATGGTATCAGTGCGGGACAGCCTCTCCAACAGAAATAGGATGCAAGTCACAAATTTAATTTAAAATTTTCTAGTAACCATGTTAAAGTAAAAAGAAAGAGGCAAATTAATTGTAATAATATATTCTATTTAATAAAATATATCTAAAATATCTTTTCTAGCAATCAATAGCAGTATTAAGAAGGTATTTTCTATTCTTTTTAAGACCAAGTCTTTGAAATCCAATGTGAATTTCACACTCAGAGCACAGCTTATTCAGAGAAGCCACATTTCAAGTATCAACTGCCACATGTGGCCAGTGGCTTCTGCACTGGGCTGTGCAGGGCTGGGTGGTAAGAGGGCAGGCTCTGCAGCCAGGTCCCCACAGTAAGTGTTGTTAACACCCATCATCTCATGTAGTTATACACTGTTTATGTGATGAGAACTTGTAAGATCTACTCTCTTAGCAACATTCAAATCTACGATATAGTATTAATTATAGTCACTATGATGTGTATTACATTCCCAGAGTTTATTTATCTTATAACTGGAAGTTTGTACCTTTTAACCACTTTCCCCATTTTTTCCTCCACTGGTAACCACCAGTCTGATCTGTGTTTCTATGAGTTTGGTTTTTCTAGATCCTAAATATAAGTGAGCTCATATAGTGTTTGTCTTTTTCTGTCATTTGAGATGCCTCACAATCAAGCATGTTCACAACACTGTGAACCTGTCCTTTGTATCTCATCCCCCCATAATTTAGCATTATGCCTTCAAAGTCCATCCATGTGGCAAATAGCATCTTTTCCTTCTCTTTTATGGCTGAATAATATTCCATGTGTCTGTGTGTGTATGTATAACACATTTTCTTTCATCTATTCATCCATTGATGGGCATTTATGTTGTTTTCATGTCTTGGCTATTGTAATGCTGCAGTGAACATGGGGGTGCAGATCTCTCTCTGAGAGAGTGATTTTGTTTCCTTAGACTATATGCCCAGGAGTGAAATTGCCGGATCATGTGGTTGTACTGTTTTTAACTTTTTGAGGAACGTCCTTACTGCTTCCCATAGTGGCTGCACCAATTTACATTCCCGCCAACAATGTACAAGGGTTCCCTTTTCTCCACATCTTTGCTAACACTTGTTATCTCTTCTTTTTGTTAATAGCCATTATAACAGTGTGAGGTGATATCTCATTGTGGTTTTTGATTTGTATTTCCCTGATGATTAGGGATGTTGAGCATCTTTTCGTATGTCTCTTGGCCATTTGTATGTCTTCTTTGGAAAAATATTCAGTTCCTCTGCTGATTTTTAAAATTGGATTATTTTTTGCTCTTGAGTTCTATGAGTTCTTTATATACCTTAGATATTAATCCCTTATCGGTTATATGATTTGCAAATATTTCCTCCCATTCTATAGCTTGTCTTCTCATTTTGTTGGTGGTTTCCTTTACTGTTCATGAACTTTCTTTTTAAATCTGCAAAGACTGCCTAAAGGACCCAGCCGGGTACTGGGTGCTCTGTAGCTCCCGCTGAATGTTTACTGATTGATGCTGAAGCCAAGAAAGCTTTAGCTCCCCCTGTTCTCTTGCCAGCACTCCTGTGAGTGAGCAAATTGCTAAGGAGCTAAGATGGACATGACTTGCCTGTCCATGGGGAAACCAGGACCAGAAATCAGGATCTCGGCTTCCAGTCCTGGACTTTTTCATCTGCTGGCTCAAATCATCCAACTGTCACCTACTACTTACTAAGCTTGAAAGAGGATTAGCTTTTGGATTCGGGCTGGGAACGAGTGTGTTTGTAACTAATTTTGTGTCATAAGATGATAAACCAGGCTTCTCTCCCATCATTACAACTTGGCAGCAGGGGGGCAAATGTCTAGAGTTTCTGCAGGAGCCTGACTGAACTCTCAGGAAACCCTGGCCTAATGGTCTGTGTTTTTCTCCCCCCTCTGCGTGTTTTTCCTGTTCTTGCTGCAATTCTGTGCATCCTGGTTGAGACTGGCAAGCAAATGAATGAAAGCACTGCCTTTTTGCAACAGCACTGTAGACCTGCAACAGTGGAGCTTCCTAGAGCTTTAGGAATACTTTGGGGCGGGGGATGTTCTACCTAAGGCAGCAGTGTTCAAGCACATTTTCACCTCTGAACTCCCACTGCGCCCACCTGTATATCTCTTGTCAGAAGCTATCATTTCCTAGCTTAGTTACATCCCCCATTTACTGAGTTCTGACCACACACCTTATTTTCTTTCATTCAACTTTAACAGCCATTCTCTTAAGTGGATGCTATAATAGAGTCCATTTTACATGCAGCAAACTGAAGCTTAGAAAGGATAAATGACTAGGGTCATACAAGTACTAAATGGGAAACGCTTCTGTATACTGCCTAGCAAGGACTGAGATGAAAACAAAATAGCAATAAAATGGCTTCTAGACATTGGCTAGGTGATGCCGTATGGGGAGAGCTGGTCTAGGCCCCACGAGAGAGTAATAGGTCTGGGAAGACTGTGCTCATTGTGAGGACTCCAGCACAGAAATGGCACAGTCAACACCCATTTGTTTGCCATTCACTCACTCACTCATCTAGCTGTTGAGCATCCTTCTGGGCCATACAGTAAGTATATCAAACCAAATAAAACATGGTCTCTGCCATTAAAAACCTTCATTATTGTGGGGAAAACAGACACTTCCACAGATATGTAGAATGCATCATATTAGATCTAATGATAGAGGATCCTATGGTAGGAAGTGAGAGGGGAGGGCTATCAGGGAAGGCTTTGGAAGGGTTGATACCTGAATTGCATTTTTAGGGATGAGTTGGGTTTAATTAGATTATGGTGGAAGGTGTGGTGAGGGATGGGACACCCTGAAAAATGGCACAGAGGGGAGAGACCACTTGATGTATGTGAGGAAGCACAAATGGTTTGGCCTTTTTTGGAAGATCAAGGATGAGCCAGGCAGCAGCAGGAGGCAGGCTGGTGGGAAGGCAGGGCCCATGGAGAGCCTCGCGTCCCATGCTGGACTGTACCCTGTGGGAACAGGGGTCACCGAGGGTCACTGTCAGGGGTTAGCTTTCTGGTGGCTGTGCCGTTGAGGGTGGGTGTGAGAGGGTAGAGGTCATTGATGGGCATTTATGTTGTTTTCATGTCTTGGCTATTGTAATGCTGCAGTGAACATGGGGGTGCAGATCTCTCTCTGAGAGAGTGATTTTGTTTCCTTAGACTATATGCCCAGGAGTGAAATTGCCGGATCATGTGGTTGTACTGTTTTTAACTTTTTGAGGAACGTCCTTACTGCTTCCCATAGTGGCTGCACCAATTTACATTCCCGCCAACAATGTACAAGGGTTCCCTTTTCTCCACATCTTTGCTAACACTTGTTATCTCTTCTTTTTGTTAATAGCCATTATAACAGTGTGAGGTGATATCTCATTGTGGTTTTTGATTTGTATTTCCCTGATGATTAGGGATGTTGAGCATCTTTTCGTATGTCTCTTGGCCATTTGTATGTCTTCTTTGGAAAAATATTCAGTTCCTCTGCTGATTTTTAAAATTGGATTATTTTTTGCTCTTGAGTTGTATGAGTTCTTTATATACCTTAGATATTAATCCCTTATCGGTTATATGATTTGCAAATATTTCCTCCCATTCTATAGCTTGTCTTCTCATTTTGTTGGTGGTTTCCTTTACTGTTCATGAACTTTCTTTTTAAATCTGCAAAGACTGCCTAAAGGACCCAGCCGGGTACTGGGTGCTCTGTAGCTCCCGCTGAATGTTTACTGATTGATGCTGAAGCCAAGAAAGCTTTAGCTCCCCCTGTTCTCTTGCCAGCACTCCTGTGAGTGAGCAAATTGCTAAGGAGCTAAGATGGACATG